TTTTTTTTCTTTCTGTAAAACCTGAATTGGTAACCTTGGAAAGTCTGATTCACATCCAAAAGGAATTCATTACTGAGTGGGGGTGACTTTGACTTTCATGAAAATGAATACTGCGAAACCATCAGCTTTGGAAAACAGTTCATTACACTTTTTTTTTTTGGTGGTGTGGTGTATAAAGTGCCTTTCATAAAAGCACCTCTTGTATGAGTATCCCGCGTGACCTCTCTTATGAAAGAAAATGTTAGGACAGTCAGCTATTTGGAAACATTGTACATGCAAGCTTTTAGGCTGACTTTCAGCGAGAACAAGATGAATCATGAATACTTAAATTTTTTTTCCCCCACGGCTCTGCTTAAATCCTAGCTTAATTGTTTCAGAGTATGCACCTGGGAGACACTGCGTGCCGCATGAGTTTGGGAGCTGAGGTTTCCAAGAATTGTCCAGCTTGGTGGCCAGTGGGGACATAGCTCCCTGGAATTTTCATCTCAGTCCTCTTCTCTCATTATTTGGGCATGTGTTTTCATTTCTCTCTCTCAAGGCAAAAGAACATTTACCATTAGCCACTTCATTTTGAAGGGTAACACAAATTTTAAGATTTTTTTCCTTAGCTTAGAAAAATTACAGAGGAGGACAGAGTTTAAGACTGATGCATCTAACAACCAGATCAAAAAACTTTAATATTTTTTTCCTATTGCTTGAGATTCTTTTTCATATTAAACACATATATAATATAAAATAGAGATTAAGTGAAAATCCTCTTGGTACTCCTACTCAACTGTATTCTTTCTCCCTTCCTAGGGGCGTATACTTTCATAAGTGTGGGATATATTCTCCCAGCCCCCATTTTTATATCTTTCCTACCTATCTTTAAACATTATGTAAAACAATATTAGAGGCAGACAATTCTAACTGTCCTCCTAATCATTGTTATTCCCTTCCTGCATTCTATCAGAACACTGGTCTTATCCAGGAAGCAGTGGCCCAGGAAGTATATTTATAACCCCTCCCAGACTCTGCTGCAGTTAAATAGTGAAGGGGTGGGTAGGAAGGATGTGATCTAGTTTTGGTCAAGTTTAAAAGGTGGGGCTTCTAGGAAAGCCATTGTTTTCTTGGGAAGAGAGGGTATATTCAGATCCAGATTCATCTTTTACCCGCCCCCCCCTCCTTTGGATCTGAAGCATGGATGCAATGTGTGACACCACAGCTATCGTCTTGTAATCTGGAGGATGGAAGAAAAATATAGAATCAGCCATGAGCCTTGAGGAAGGGACCCTGGATGCAGATTTGAGCCTGTCTGAAAAGAATTTTTCGAGTCCTCCAGCAAAGGAGGACTAATTAAAGGTATTTACGCATGTTATATCCTGCTCCCCTTCTGGACCATCAGCCCTGATTAATTCCCGCGCTTTGTGGGGCCTGATAGACGACATCTTGGAGCCACCTTCTTCTGGGTCGCCTTCAGCTGAACTCTTTTAGGACAAAATGACAAACCCCTATGTGGTTAAGCTACTGTTGCTAAATTTCTTTAAAGGCATCCAAACACAATCCTAACTGGTAATGTATTATTTTGTTTTTCAGATTTTTATAGAAATGGTGTTATCAAAACAGGTTGTTCTAGGGGGGTTGCTACTTTGTGAGGGCGAAAAGGATAACTATTGCATTGTTCTGTACATCTGAAACTAACAATAAAAAAAAAAGTGATGGGATGCCACTTCCAAAAGGAGATTATAAAAGACTGTGACTGTGTCTTGTTCATACTCTCTCTGGCCCAGTCACTCTGATGGAAGCAGCTTCCATATTATAAGTGTCTGGAGAGGCCTGCAGGGCAAGACATAAAGGGTGGCCACTCGTGAGGAACCGAGGCCCTCAGTTCAGGAATTCCACCACGTGAGTGGCCTTGGAAAGACGTCCTTCTCTAATTGAGCCTTGAGATGAGGCTGAAGCCCCGACCAGCACCTTGAGCACGTCTGTGAGAGACCCTGAGACGGAGCACCCATTGCACCCGCATACGTATTCCTGACCCCCAGGAACTGTGAGGTAATGAATGCTGTTGTCTTAAGCCAAAAAAACAAAAAACAAAAAACAGGTTGTTCTACAATTTGCTTTCTGCACTCACTATTATGTTTGATGTTTATCCACTTAGACACATATCTAGTTCATTAACTTTTAAATTGCTTTTTCCACCCATTTCTGTTCTATAATTTCAATTTAATTTTTCAATTACAGTTGATATACATTATTATATTAGTTTAAGGTGTAC